CCTCTTTTGTAAGGCCAAACAAAGTAGTTTCGCTTTCACAACGAAGCACACAGCGTCTTCAGGACATGGCTGCAGTGTCAACAAAACTACAGTGAGACTAAAAGTTACGCCTTCTTTCTTTGCATGAACATTTGGGCGGCGTTATGCAAATCTTCCCACATAGTGAGGTAGATATGTGGGGGCGTGTTAGAACGAGCCATTTTAGGTAGGTGTGGCTGACTCTGAACTTTTATAAAGAATATCTCTTTGGATTTGAGACTTTAGTCTTTGCAACTTTACAGATCTTCTTTATGCACCAAGAGCTTGTAACACTCCAAAGAGAAAGGAAAAATTGAAATCGCATCATATGACCCCTTTAAGTAAAGATCATGTTCCATGAAGATATTTTGTACATTTGCTACTGTAAATATATTAAATATATTAAAACTTAATTTTTGATTAGTAATATGCATTGCTTAGAACTTCATTTGGACAACTTTAAAGGTGATTTTCTCAATATTTGGATTTTTTTGCACCCTCAGATTCCAGATTTTCAAATAGTTGTATCTCGGCCAAATATTGTCCTATCATAACAAACCATACATCAATGGAAAGCTTATTTATTCAGATTATTCAGATTGAGATGTATAAATCTCAATTTCGAAAAATTGACCCTTATGACTGGTTTTGTGGTCCAGGGTGACATATTAGAATTCTGTGGAAAAAAATTCAGAACTGAGAAATGGAAACTCAGAATTTTGAGAAAAAAATCAGGATTGCAAGATGTACACTCAGAATTGCGAGAAAAAATTCAGAATTTTGAGTTCATATCTCACAATTTTTACTTTTTCCCTCAGAATTGCAAGAAATTGCAAGAATCACAGTCGTCTTTTATTTATTTATTTCATAATGAAGTGCTCTTGTTATGAGTTCAGGTATGTTCATAAGTCCCAAACACACACGCTGCATCTTATCTGAGGAGGTCAGCCTCCACGCATGGCTTCAGAGCAGCTGTGGGTGCAGGGCAGAAGAGGAAAGTCCATGAAAAAGGAACAGTAGGTTTTACTGTCTGGCTGACCTCCAGCTCTCATTACCGAGCTATGTTGCATTCCAATAACCAAGAAACCCTTTGTCTGTCTAAGCAGGTCTGCGAGGAAAACAAGCAAGAGTTTTTGAGGCTGGATTGTGTGTGTGTGTGTGTGCAAGAGCGAGTCGAGCTCATTCAGGAGTCATAGAGTTAAAAATAACTTTATAGCAGATCATGTTTTGGAAGGAGGGATCTACTTCCCAGGCTGGGGCAGCACAGGCTGAGTGTATGTGCATGCGTTTGTGCACGTGCGTGTGTGTTTTTGTGGCAGCGGCAGGAGCGCGTTGACTTCACACACAAACACACTCTTTTCTGGGCCTGTCCTGATGGTGTCTGTCCTGTCTTGTGCTCCAGATGAGCTGCTGGATGTAACCTGGCTCCATGAGTGCTATGAATGACTCCCTGGATGAGACGCGCAGCCTCGGGGAGAAAGCGGCCATATTTCGGGGAACGAGAGGCAGTGGGAACGTCGTTGGGTCGGCCTTCATCCCATTGCGCTCGCCCTTGCAACCACCCAATGCTGTGGTCTCCACACTCCTCAAGGGAAATAGGTAGGACACGCTTTCTATTGCAACTCATTCTATGTGTACACACTGTATAATAAACAACTATCTGGTTCCCTACACCGTACCTCATTTCGCACTGGTTAATTGTTAACGTGTCTGATGGGACAAGCAATAGAGCAGCCTTTGTGCTCTCCGCAATGCCTACGTGAAAACACTGTAGACTTTGTACCTGTAAACAGGCGGGTTGAGAGCAACGAAGCTGGAATCAAAACAAGCACCTGTTACTTTCCAGCTCTGGGGAGGAATCGCGAGGAATCACGAGGGACTTTATGTCACGTCTTCCACGTGTTTGTGATACGGTAGCTGTGAGATCATTACGGCATGGCTCAAATGCGGCCCTGGAAGGAGGACTCTTAAGTGTTTATTTGTGCCGTAACCAACAAACAACTGAGCTCACTCATATGTAGACACACAAACAAATGAATTAAATGCACCCTGCTGGGTTCCAGCATCATTAGGCTGACCGTATTTTCATATGCAGGTATGCTTGTCGTTTTTTAGGTGGAGACACTCTAGGTGAACAGGGTAAACCATTTAACTAATAGATTTCACCATACTTCCCCAGTCGATTGATTAAGAATCAACATTTTTTTTTGTAATACAAGTATTCTGAAATGTTATGTTTAAATATTCAAATTAGGTATTATCTAATTAAATATGCACTCATTTGCATGCATTTCCAGAACAGAAATATGAATGCTGGTTAAAGACAGGTTCAAAATTCCTGTTTCTTTTTATTGACATATTAGAGTCAAAGGGATTTTGAACAAACTCCAATGTAAAAAACTTCAGAATATAGATATAGATAGGAATGAAACTGTGCTACTGAAGAGGAGATTTTTAATTAAAATCTGCAGATGCAAATAGATAAAGTGCAATGGAAATTTTGTATTTTGGATGTTTTCTTTCCACTAGTATATAACAACACATTATGAAAAGCCAAATAGCACAAAATCTCAAAATTGACCAGTGCATGACCAGTGTTTTTGCCTGTAGTTTCTTACCATAAATAACAACAAGCTGTAGTTAAAGGAATAGTTCACTCAAAAATGAAAACCTGCCATGATTTTTTTTCTTCTGAGGAACACAATTTTATTTTCTCCATACAATGAAAGTCAGTGGGATGTAGTGTTGTTTGAATGTCACTGTTCTTTAAAATATCTTTTCTTGTGTTACGAATTAAAAGTCAGACAGGGGTGCGTTTCCCAAAAGCATCGTTAGAGAACTATGGTCGTTAGTTCCATACTCTATTGGTAACGACGGAACTTGCGACCATAGTTGCTTTTGGGAAACGCACCCCAGGTTTGGAGTGACATGATGGTGAGTAAATGATGACAGAAATTTCATTTTTTGGTGAACTGTCCCTTTAAGACTAATGTGTTTCAGTGTTCTACCTGGGCAAGTCAGTTGAACAGTTGAAATGGGACGTTTTTAAGGCACTGTCAGGACAATTCATGGTTTACTTAGGTGGTTTTCAAACTGGGGTCCGCGGAACCTTGGGGGTAATAACGTATTTTCCGGACTGCAACTTGCGTTTTTTTATCTTCTGAAACGTGCTATGATTTATATTCCAACGTGACTTATTTAATGCATTAATGTCAAATAAGCAAAGCGTAAACACTTAAAAGCGGGCACTTCACGGTTTAGGCCTATATAGCAAAATATATTTCTCATGTCTGTTTGACAAGTAGAAAGTATCTCTGAGTTTTTCTTCATTTTAGTAAGAAGTTCACAGAGACCAAGCGCATTTTGTTTGTTTTCTTTATTTTACAAAAGCACAATGTTTCACTGTCATTTTGAAGGTACACAAATAAAAATAGACCGTTTTGAATGATGTCTTGCTTTTATCTGACAGATATCACATTTTTCCGCTGATATAAGGAATCCATAGTGTTCGCGCTGGTGCCTCCCGCGCGCACACAACATATCAGTTCTAGCATTGCAACTTGACATCGCAGCCTCATCATCAGCAAACTAAATGAGACAACTAAACATACAAAAGGTATTTGGTGACTCAATTTAACTTGCCTGTTGTACAATATGTAAGTTTTGCCGGTCAGCGTGAGCATCGCCATTCCGTGGTGTTTTCCCAAACTTTTTTTTTTTTGCATATGTGAAGGATGCTGTTAGTAGATATTCGGACACGAGAGAAGTACAAAGCCTTCTTTACATAATAAGTAGCCTAATAGAGCCCACTACTGTCACGGTCACGGTGTGTGGAGGCAGGCAGGACGACGAGGACGACAAGGATTCCAATAATGACTTTTAATGTAGACACAACAAGGCAGATTCAGGAAGGTGAGACACACACACTCGGGGTAACATTCACAATAACCGACAAACTATAATACAAGGGACAGGAACTGATATAGGGCAGATAACGAGGGGCAGACAGGTGAGCACAATGAGGTGATTAACTAATAATGAGAACAGGAACAACCAAATAAGGACACAGAGGGAGAAACCACAATCAACAGTCCACAGGGGTGTGACAGATCGCCCCCCTCCCGGAAGGTGCGACCTCGCGCCGTGGAGACAGAGGGAGGGACGGAGGGGGACTTAGGAGGAGGACCAAGGAGTGGATGTGGGATGGTGACAGGGGAAGGCAAAGGGCTGGCAGGCAGACATGACAGGTGGAGGCTCCGGCGGAGGACGGATATCCGGGAGGAGGCCGGCAGACCGAGACCAGGGGGGCGATGAAGGAGGGAGGAGCCAGGGAGGAGACAGGAGGGACCCGGAGCAGGAGGAGCTCAGCAGGACCCAGGCCACAGCCATAACAGCGGCCCACGGTGGAGCCGACGGTGGGAGGAGCCATGGAGGAGGGATAGCTGCCAACTCCAGGGGGCCGACCAACGGTGGCGGAGCAGGTGGAGGAGGAGCCCGAGGCGGAGACGGAGAGCCAACAAGCCAGGGGGATGCCGAGGATCCGGGGGGCCAGGGTGGAGCCGAGGGCTCTGGTGACTGAGGCGGAGGCGGAGATCCAGAGATCCGCGGCGGAGCCGGAGCGACTGAGGACCAAGATGGAGCTGGCAGAAGGAAGGAGCCCAACGGAGCCGGTAGGACAGAGCGACGAGGCGCAGCCAGAGGAGAGGAGTCCAGAGGCGATGGCGGGTCGACGCCCGACCAAGGAGGAGCCGGAGGGACGAGGGAGCCCGGTGGAGCTGATGGATCGATGGGTGATGATGGAGGCGAGGGAGCTAGGAGCCGAGCCCGAGCCACTGGGAATTGGGGATCAGGAGCCCTTCCTCGGCTAAACGAGGAATCAGGAGCCCTTCCTGGGCTGAACTGGGGATCAGGAGCCATTCCGAGGCTCGACAGGGGATCAGGAGCCATTCCTAGGCTCAACAGGGGATCGGGAGCCATTCCTAGGCTCGACAGGGATTGCACGATTTCTAAATCGCTTTATAGCACGATTTTCCACGCCCCCGACCTCCCGCAGTATGCTATCCGAACCAATCAGAATGCAGTGCACCTAAATGGAGCACGAGAACAGAACAGACCGGGCGGGCATACAAATGTAAGTCCAGGTTCCCTCACTCCGTCTGTGGTGCGTATTTTTTCCGCGCCCATGTTAATGAATCAGACGCTGCACGCTGCACTGCACGCGATTGCGGTCCGGCAGTGCGCTCCAGGAGCGGTGCGTCTGCAGCAGTCATGCTGCGATCGTTTCCGCACGGAATCTATATCTGCTGTGCTGCACGCGCTGAATTAAAGTGACAGCACATTATTGGCGGTAAAAATTAACATGGATTGACACGGAAATTTAGTAACTACACCATAAATGCATATAATTAAAGTCTACTGTTTCACAGTCAACACATGGCTTTTTGGCTAGATTTAAAACAAGGAAAAGTGCACTTTTAGATAAACAAGGCAATAATAGATGGCACTCGTGGTGGTAGTTAAACAAAGTTATATTTATTGAGTTTAAGCATGAATATGTCTATGAAAGATTGTAGTACTGTACTGTGATAAAAGAGAATCACAATGCTGAAAAAGCATTTTCAGAAACAACGTTTGGATTTGAAATCAAAATAATGGATAAATGTTGTGTTTGTGGTAAACAGCCGCGGATCAGGAGCGGACTGCAAACGCGTCCTGTGCGAAAGCAAAATGAGTCCGTGCTGCTTCTGCACCGCATACACATACTGTATAC